GCAGAGTGTCTAGCGACTAGGAAAATCAGGAAAACCGGGAAGTGGCGGGGAATTTTATAACGTCAGGGGAAGCCTGAAAATGTCAGGGAAAATGACAAAAGTGTCGCAGGGTGCCCAGCATCAGGATTTTCCCGATTCCATTAGGATTCAATCCCAATTTCATCAGGATTTGAGGAAAAATCGGTCGCAAAATCAGGATTTGAGAAGTTTTTACGACGGGACGCACGCCTTCGGAGCTGGCTCCGATATGGGGTGCTTCTGATGAGATAGGTGTGTATGCAGGGTGTCTAGCGACCAGAAAAATCAGGAAAACCGGGAAGTGTCAGGGAATTTTATAACGTCAGGGAAAGCCTGAAAATGTCAGGGAAAATGACAAAAGTGTCAGCAGGGTGTCTAGCATCAGGATTTTCCCGATTTCATCAGGATTCAATCCCAATTTCATCAGGATTTGAGGAAAAATCGCTCGCGAAATCAGGATTTGAGGAAAGTCGGCTGTCGAATCGGATTTTTTTATGCTTTCGCATACGCTTATGCAGATATTATGCAGAAAATGCAGAAACTAATCACGAAAACATGCATCTGATCTCCCAGCTTTTTATAGTTTCTGGTTATTTTTAAGGCTTGTTATTTTCAACGAGCCACTGAATGCTGTTTGTATAATTTGATCTCTAAACAAGGAATTTGTGTCCAATTTTTAGTGAAAGTCAGCGTTTTTTTTTTTCGTAATTATAAAAAATTAAAAAATGTGTATTCCCTAAAGAAAATAAACTAAATGGTAGTAATTTTATTGGAAGATCAGGAAAAGTCAGGGAGTTAGAAAATTTTGGAGTCGGGAAAAACGAAAATAGAGAAGAATCAGGGAAAGTCAGGGAATTTGAAGATGACAAAATTATGGCAACCCTGGATAGGTGTATGTACACAGGCAGGGTTGAAGGCATTTCGGACCGTAACATGCTATGTCACGAAAGGCTGTAAAACTCGCCTGGTAAGGTTTTCACCGATCCGTGGTCGGAGACAAATGTGACAGGATTAGTGATAAGCGATCTTATCCAAATGAGAGTTTTTCAAAGGAAAGATAATATGTAATCTAAAATCTACTGATCAGGACAACCGAGTTGTTCGTTAAACTTCACTGCTCATTATTCAAGTTAAACACACACAAATATACTTTCATCATAAATGAAGAGGTGATTCTAAGCCATGTCAATGCGCCTTCAATTATTAGCGTAGGCATCATGAGTTCCCACAGCTGCGTGGTCGAATAGTGGAATCACCGTAAATGTCACGCTTCTCTGCTTTTATTGTGTATGAATATTTTAATTATCCGAAAAATGTGTTCAAGCGACTGCACAAATGTTTTTGGTAGCAACTATGATACCTGGCGTAGCTCAATCTTATCTCAATCGAGCTCTCTCCGGTTGGCTAGAATAGTTGCTGACCGAAAAACTACAACCTTCACCCGATCGATGACCCACCATCGTGGGATACAATATCTGTGTCCGATCGATAAATAAAATTTGCTTATGGCAATTAAATCTCAAAATAACTATAAACGCGGAATTTTTTAACTGTTTATGTTATAAGAGGGTTTCAAAGTGCCAGGGTTTCTACAAGTCCGGAAAGTCCGGAAATAGTACTGATTCTTTAAGGGCGGTCCGGAAGTACTGAAAAAGTGCGGAAATTCCGCACGAAGATCCGGATTTTTTTCATTTTTTGTGTTATTTTTGTCGCATTTTGAGCGAAAAATTCAAATCTATGAAATTCTTCAAATTTCGTCAATTGGAGGCACTGAAAAAGTGCTGAATTTTTCTGTTAAGAAGGCGCTGAATTTCTCGGGAATGTACTGCAAAAGTACTGATTTTTGGCCTGCCTATTTTAGTAGACACCCTGAGTGCGCCTGTATCAAGCTGGAAAAGCGCCGTGGGCCCAAGTTAGAAAACCCGAGAGCCTATTTACACCAATACTTATTTCGTAGGCGAGAAAAGGCTGCTGAACGTTTTCTGAAAGGCACTCCCGAAGGATTCCTGAAAGGCTCCACCTGTTCGGCGTCAGTCAATCTCAAGTTCCTCAAGTTGAGATGTTAAAATCGATCTCTTGATGCAGAAAAGCTGCGGCATCGGCAGGCCTCTCTCCCGAAAGGACTTACCGCGAACCACTTAACCTGGAATGGATGAGCATCAAAGTTTGTTAACTTTAAACATCCCTCCTCCGCCCTCCTAATTTAGCCGCAGTCGGATCAGGAAAACTTCCACCCCTTAATTACTTTTATGTTCTTCTCGAGTGTAAGTCAGAATTCATTTACCCCTGACCAGCTTTGCTTTGCATTTATGCTGCCGTGCTAAGGAAGAACGCCGTATTAACATTCAATAGTTGCCAAATCACCTCGGATGAAACATGTATTTTTGGGGGAAATTTTGCGTTTAAAATTTTTGAGAAAATTTGAACCATCACAAGGGGTCGTTCATGAAGTACACAACGCTAAATTTCGATTCCCTACTCCCCTTTTTTATCCACTTCTCGCTGTAATGCTGGTCCTGACGTCGTATACCCTCTCTAAATTAAGCGTAAAGCTCTCATTGACACCCCACCACCACCACCACCACCCTCCCCCCTCCCGTGGTAGAAAAATTATTGATAAATAAGCTACATTATTTTAAATCCTTGTTTGTATCTGTGAAAAAATTTAGAACAGGCGAAAACAAAAGAAGAAAATAAGGGTAAAAAGAGGTAAGTAGGGTATAAAGAGAATAGGGTGAGGATTTTGCGGTGTAGAGTAATAAGGGTAATTTTGTGAGCTAAGTTCTCGGAACATTTTTTAATCATAAAACTCAAAGAATATGGAGAGTAATAAAACGGAAAATAAAATTCAAAACACCTAGCAACAGCACACACTGGATCTTAGCAACACTAGCACAAAATTAAAAATGTAACTAATCCATTGGAAAAAAAAAACAATGAAGAGACCTCCTTCCTCCCCTGAAATACACCTGCAAACCAGGCTCAAACCCTCTTCCCACCTTAGAGCGCCACATATTTAATGAACGACCCCAAAGAATTAAATTATGAGGTGATACGAAGTTTACCCCTTTTCACACTTTTTCGCACTCCCTTGCACTTTGTAGTTTGTAACCGGAATGCTTAGTTGGCGGAAAGCGGCTGTAGGTGGAGTTTTAAGCTTCGAAATGCGCTCTAGTTGAAAGCCACCGCAAGTGCAAGTGTTCGCGAAAAAGTTTTACAATTTTGTTCAACCAGGGTTTCTACAGGTTTGAAAACCCGGAGAAACCGGGCATTGTCAGGGAATCTCATTACTCCAGGGAAATCGGGGGAAGGTCTTGAAATTTTTTTGAAAAAGACTAAATTTTTTTCTGCGAGTGCTTTCAGCAGGTTTCGCGCATATTCGACTTTTTGGACACGTTTCCTAGAATTCCAGCTTTAGTCAATTGAATGATTCACCGAAAAAAAAGACGCTGATTTTACATTCTCGATGTAAAAAAGTGTGCGAGAACTGAAAAAGCCTGCAAAAACTGTGTGCGGTTTGATTCTTGTTTCTCTTGTGAGCGGGAAATTTAAATTTTTCGCAACCAATGCTAAATAAACACGTCGGTATCTTGGCTTGAGTGAAATCAATAAAGCCTGCAAAAAATGTGTGCGGTTTAGGTAATTCTTGTTTCTCTTGTGAGCGGGAAATTTAAATTTTTCGCAACCAATGCTAAATAAACACGTCGGTATCTTGGCTTGAGTGAAATCAATCTTTTCGTCGCCTGAATTTCGTTGTTTCCCTCCGGAAGAACATAACTTAATTTCAATGTTGCCAAATTGCCCCTTGCAAAATTGCATGTAAACCAGGAGAATCTTGGGCGTTCCTTACTGAAAATTTCACTGATTTTTCCTCCGATCTCTTGCAAAAACAGTGTTCGAAACTAGCTTTTAAGTTTCAGGAGCCATGTGGCGCATCAAGCCCGATTTTTAGGCGCCATAGAAGATTTTTTAGGGGCCAAATTGACTTTTTGCCTACATATTACGGCGTATTTAGTGAAAAATTAGAAGCAAGATGTTTTCGTAACAGAACTAGTAAGTAGTTGTAACTTGGGGAAGACAAAAGCACTGAGAATGAAAACGTGAAGAATAGAAAAAGTAAGCTTTTCCTTGTAGTGCTGAAAATTCTGAGTTTTTTCAATTCAAATAGATATGTTTTTCTTTCTTTGTGTGACTTCCTGTGAAAATCCAGATTTTTAGTGGACAATTTTTAGGGGCCACGTTGGCGCAGAGCCATAATGGACCACCAGACAAGGTACGAATTTCAGCATTCTGATACATGTTTCTTAACCAGAATTTCACATAAAATACGATTCGCGCAACGAAAAGTACTGAAACCAACTCCTAACGGAGATATCAACATTTTTATGACACATTGGTTACGAGGAATTTGAACTGCCCGCTCACATGAAACTCAAAGCTCTACGTGAGTCAAATCGCGCACTACAACGGTTTTAGCAAGCATCTCAATCGAGCAATGTTCATTTCCCATGTGTTTTTCAAACTATAAAGTAATTTGCTATAGCTGAGCCAAAGTGTCAAGATTGAGGTTGCCAGATTTTTATATAGCAGAGTCAGTCATGATAACGTTTAGCGCGCGATGTGAATCACGTAGAGCATTGAGTTTTCATGAGCGGGTGGTTTCGATTCACGCACCAAGAATCATTAAATATCTTCGGAAGGAGTTGATTTCGGTAATTTTCGTTGTGCGCATCGTGTTTTACGTGAAATTTTGGTGAAGACACATGTATCAGAATGCTGCAATTCGTGCCTTGTCTAGTGGTCCATTTTTTAGGTGCCACGGCCGATTTTTTAGGCGCATTTGGCGCGTTAGCGCCTGTGAGTTTCGAACACTGGTTTGAAGGGTATACGTGAATCAAATGCTTTACCCCGTCGAGTGGTCCATTCCATCGGGAACACCCCTCGGGGTTCTAATTTTAAAACGGAAAAAAACGACGAAATACCTGAATAGTTGTACAAATACTCGTTCAATCGGTTTATTTTATCCATTTTCAAGCCGGGCTCCGTGCAGTTCCAACGCGGTCGAAAAGGCGCCGCCAGCGAATCATTCCAGGACCGAAAGGCCGGCCGCAAAATTCCCGTGGGAACCGATCACTCGACGAAGACCCGCATCGTCGGGTCCGAATCGCGCAACTGGTTTTTTTCTCGAGAGGTCTCGGGATCGAATCCCCGAGCGGCGACGTCCCGAGCGGCCGGGAAAATGACGAGCGAAAAACGGAAAACGGGAAAACCGTCGCCGGAGTCGGACGTTGTGACATGCGGCGGTCCTTGAACCAGTCCCGAGGCGTGAGCTACCATGCTAAGGGAAAACGCCGTATGAGCCTTCAGACGTTGCCAAGTTTCTTCCAAGAAAAGCCAACTTTATTGGGAAAATTGCCAATATTATTTTCCAAGATTTTCAGACAATTTTGTATGCAATTTACTCTAAAATATATGAAAATTTCAAAGAAAAATGTGCATGAATGTCGTCAAAAAAACATATTTTGTAGGAGGAAATTTGGCAACTCTCGAATGTTCATACGGCGTTCTTCCTTAGCACGGCAGTGAGTGACCGATTATCGATATTTACCCATTTGAAGCTATAGTGAAGAATCGATTGGTCGAGTTGCGAGCGTAATGATCGATTATCGATATTTCCCCATTTGAAGCTATAGTAAAGTATCGATCGGTCGAGTTGCGAGGCGTGATGATCGATTATCGATGTTTACCCATTTGAAGCTGTGGTAAAGAATCGATTGGTCCTTGAACCAGTGGCGAGGCGTGAATGATCGATTATCCATATTTACCCATTTAAATTCATGGTAAAGAATCGATTATCAATGTGTTCGTTGCGAACACCTGTCTATCGATTCTTTTCATAAGTTTAGATGGTAAATCAATCGATATATCGCAAAGCACGCCACGCCACGCCCTTGAACCCTCGTTGCCGGGTTTCTTGAGAGTTGCGTAGGCGTAGGCGAACGTGGTTCATAGTAGTATTTAAATTGATATTGCCTGGTCGCCAGACGGACTGTGTGCAAGTGCATAGTGCACGTTCAAAAAAACGAACCCACCAGTGTGTGTTTTTTTGGAAATTCCGTCTCAAGATTTGACAGGGTGTCTACTGAAAAGATAAAGTATGGATACAGTGAAAAATCATGGTATTCGAAAAGAAGGTACGGAGGCATGGAAAAGGTACCGTTTCTCCGTGGTAAGGTAAAGAAAACCGAGATTTTTGCGATGAGCTCTGAAAAGTAGCCTTGCGTGCGATTTCCTAACATAATAAAGTTCCCGGTTAGATTCCTCGTATTTTTTGGTTCATTCCTTTGTCACACCATCATTCCATTTTCCCTCTCCGAATACAGTAAAAAATGCGTGTGAGGTAACAGGGTGTCCACAAGTCCGGTATGTCCGGAAATAGTACTAATTTTTTAAGGGCGGTCCCGAATTACTGAGAAAGCGTGAAAATTCTGCGAAAAGGTCCGGAATTTCTTTTCATTTTTGTCACAATTTGAGCGAGAAATTCAAATTTTTGAAATTTTTCGAATTTCATCAAATGAGGGTACTGAAAAAGCAATATTTCCGTTGAGGAGGTTCCGCATTTCTCGTAAATGTACTGAAAAGGTATTGTAAAAGTACTGATTTTTGGTCAGTCTGTTTTGGAAGACACCCTGCACAGCGAGGGCTAACAATAAGAAAAAATAATACCGCGTACGAGCTAACATACGAGTCACTAGTTTCCCTATGAAGAAACGTGCTTTTATGAATGAGCCAGACGTAGTAGTTCTTTTATTTTGAAAAAAAATAAAGTCCAATTCTGCTTCTGAATGAGCGTGGCAGCTCTGTAGGGGAAAAAAAACAGTTAACCCTGTTTTTCATGTTATTTTTGTCAAGCGATTATAATTGCTACCGTAGCCAATCTATGTTGCCAATCTGGCATCGCCGTATATTACCTTCTCTCGCTGTTCTCCCACTCTTGACCCGAAGTTTGACCCCCGGAGCTATAGGAGAAGATCCTTAAGCTCTTACACTGTCGGCGATATCATGACTACGTTAGTATGATAATTGGTTTGGAGTCGCATGAATATTCAGCGAGCAATTTAAGAGACTTTTTTTTCCCTAGCTTCTCCTGCGAGTTCCGCGAGTTGGCTGGATTTTAATTTTCTGTTTATCCAAGATTTCATAACATCGCTTTTCCGAATCTCGCCCTGGGTCTCTAGCTTTTAGTCCCTGCATCGTGGTACCTTGATCAAATCGTGTAGTTGAGATTAATGCATTTTGCTTGTCCAAGCAGGGGTACCACAGTCAGGGATAACTGAGAAATGTCAGGGAAAATGACGGAAATGCCAGGAAAAAATCGTTGAGCATGATGTCCAGTTTTTTAAAAACCGAGAAAAACCGGGATTCATCAGGGAGTGAAAATTTACCGGAAAATCAGGGGATCTGTTCCAGAAACCGGGAATAATGTAGAAGCTGTCATTGACCAGATAATATCAACATCAGGAACATTTTTTGAATTACAATTTTGAATGCGCGCCATAGAAATAGCTGTAAGATTAATTAAAATCTATATGCATATCTGAAACTCTGGAAAATTATATTCTTTTCCCCAAGAAAATCCCAGCAAAGTGGGAGAAACCTTGGGTTTCTCATCAGGGAGTGAGCTCCTAAAAATCAGGGAAAATCAGGGAAAAATCAGGGAATGAGCTTTCCCAAGAAAACTTAGACACCATGTCGTTAAGTCACCCTTATTTGCTTTCTCGAACAGGTTTGACGCATCGAACAACACATTATGCCTGAAAACACTAGCTATGTCTTGTTAACAATCGTGCATTTGTTCAATTGTCAGGGGGCTTTCACCAAAATGTGACGTACTAAAATCGTACGCCCTTCTTGCACCCAACGCCTCATATATGTCGAGCTTCACACTATGTCTCATTCTTACTCCTTAACGAATAATTTTCCATGATCAATATCACGCTAGTTCGATCGTTCGAATTATATCGTTCGCGGGCAATCAAGTTTGCTAATGTAGAAATGCTAAAGAAACCCCAACCCTAACACACATTTACGCAAACCACACTGCCGTATTGAGGGAAAACGTCGCACCGTATGAGCATGCGAATGTTGCCAAATGTCTGCTCAGAAATAATTTATTTTTGAAGAAAGTTATGGACATATTTACTTTTTTGTGGACACTTTGGATCAAAGTCGGAACAAAACTCTTTGTAAAATCGGAAGGGAACTATTTACAAATTTTCCCGAAAATGCGCGATGCATCGAATGAAATTTGGCAACGTCCTGAAACTCATACAGTGTCCTACCTTAGCATAGCAGCACAGGTTTAGGGCGAAATTGGATTTGACAAAAGCAATCGAATAATTTACTCTCAGTAGCGCTTGAATCAAAGCAAAATCGCTGAATGTTTAGTTGATATAAACAAATCTTTTCCTAATGAGGTAGAAATTACCTCCTGACGAAAAATTAAAGATTGTCCCTGGTCAAATCAAGTATTTTTTCCTCAGTGTGACTGGAAGCTGAAGATTATTCCCGGCTCAAAACTCTAGCTCGGTTAAAGCTCTTAGCTGCCAGGCTGCAATATCTCGATGCCAGGTTTTTCAGTTGCGTGGCGTGCTTTGCGACCAATCGATTAGTCTGTCGTTTAAACCTTCGGTAAAGGATCGATTATCGAGGTCTTTGCAACGAACATAGTCCCAATCGATTCTTTATTATGGCCTCAAATGGAATAGTGTCGATATCCGATAATTCACGCTTCGCCGCTGAATTTTATTGCGGAGCAGCACAGCCGAAAGTTTTGTCACCCCATTAAACACGATTCAGCGAGTGATTTTCTACCGCTTTAAGCAGTGGCGTGGCGTGCTTTGCGATATATCGATTGATCTGTCATTTGAATCTATGGAAAAGGATCGATAATTAGGGTGTTCGCAGCGAACACCATGGTAATCGATTCTTTACCATAGGTTTAAATGGCAGAACAGCAATATATTGCAAAGCACGCCACGCCACTGTTTAAGTCTCGCCCTGCTTTTGCACTTGAATTTCCTCCCGCTGGCAGCGAGAATATCACTGATCCTCCGAAAAAAATACGTCTCAAATCATACCCATGCTTTCAGCAGGGTTGCCGGTGGTCTAAAAACAGGGAAACTCAAGAAATTTCTGACACATCTTTTTATCACTGAAACATCACAGATCTTCCAACTGTTCACCTACCCTTCTGGTCATTTTAAGGCTTGATATATTTCAACCATCTACCGAATGCCTTTTCCATAAGTCATTTGATCTCTAAGCAAGGAAATTTTGTCTAAAGTTTAGCAAAAGTCTTCGTATTCTTTTTTAAAAAATAGACATTTTTTTCAAAAGTCATCCAGCTAGTAGGTAGGTCAACAGCTAAAGGCGGAGTCCCGAAAATACAAGCTTCAACCATTGCCAAGATTTCAGTGGAGGATCTCTTGTCTCTGCCATTACCGTACAATAAATTGCCCACTGGAAAAAAAACACATTGGATTTAGAGTCCAGACTCTTGAAAATATTGACATGAAAAAGGACTTTTGATTCAATCAGATTTAAGCTTAAATCAAGAGGAAATTCGCTCAAATTAAGAGGCTTGGTTCTTGATTTAAGCTAAAATCTGTTTGAATCAAGAGTATTTTTTCTTGTCGATGTTTTTAAGAGTCGGCACTCTAGATCCAATGTGTTTTTTTCCAGTGCCGCACGGTATTTTGATGATCCCGTCAAACAATTTGAGATCCGCTCAAGTTGGATCGACCGACTTACAGTTTGATTACATTTTGCAATAAGGAACCACTATTTCTGGTTCATTTTAGAAACAACATATATGCCATCGGTTTCCCTATGCAGAAACGTGCTCTTATGGAAGAACCAGAGATAGTGGCTCCTCATTGCTAAATTCTCACATAGTTTTCCGACTCGAGCACGATTCTGTTTTCCGGCGCTGTTGACACGATGGCAGAGTTTGTAGTCAGCGGTGCACTTATCGCTTCTCTTTATGTCAACCTCTAAGAAGATGAGACCGGGGCAGTATCCTTTGCACTGCCGTTCCTAATGACTGGCAATAATCCCGCCCCGGTGGCAATCAAATTAACGATGACCTTTCGGCGCGATGTACCTCCAAGCTCACTCCCTTCCCCTTCTCTCGTAAATCCATCGTCGATTAATACAGGAAAGGTCGAGTCATAACAATAACCAAAATTCAGATAATCGCAAGAATGTCTTTCCGCAGGGTGTCTACAAAACCGGAATTTCCGGAAAGTCCGGAACTAGTACTGATTTTTTAAGGGCGGTCCGGAATTACTGAAAATGTGCAGAAATTCCGCAAATACGTTCGAAATTTTTGTCACTTTTCAGAAATTCAAATTTTTGAAATTTTCCGAATTTCGTCAAATGAAAGGTACTGAAAAAGTACTGAATTTCTCGGGAATGTACTGAAAAAGTACTGTAAAAGTTTTGATTTTCGGCCAGCCTGTTTTACACTGGAATCAAAAACACATTGGATCTAGAGTCCAGACTCTTAAAAACATCAACAAGAAAACATACTCTTGATTCAATCAGATTTAAGCTTAAATCAAGAACCAAGCCTCTTAATTTGAGCGAATTTCCTCTTGATTTAAGCTTAAATCTGATTGAATCAAAAGTCCTTTTTCATGTCAGTGTTTTCAAGAGTCTTGACTCCAGATCCAATGTGTTTTTTTTCCAGTGTAGTAGACACCCTGTTTCCGTGTCCTGGAGGAAAACACTTATCCACGTTATGTAAAATGAAAACCACCGATGTTTCAGAGATTTCGCGTATGCTTCGTTTCTGCAAGCAAACGATGCTTAAAGGCTTCTTTGTTCTGTTGTTTTTTGGCAAAAAGTGCAACTTTAAATGCTCATATTCCTCTCAAAGTTTTTGTATATCTCAGAAATGGCCAAGGAAAACCGCGACAAGTCAGGGAATGTCAATTCTAAATGCTTTTGCCAACCCTGACTTGGAGACACCTGAGAAATTCTGACGCTTGACAGTACTGATGAAATAACCTCTGAGCTTTGGTTTGGCTGTTCAAATGGTCAAGTAGTCGCACAACACAGAATTTCTCTCTAACAGTAGTTCAAAGCTCCTAAGTGATGCGATAATAGCTTTCGAAGAATGTGCGGAATCAAATGAAAATCCTGGAATATTGCGATCTTGTTCCACTCGGTAAAATCGCCTTCATTTTCGCGAGCTATGCAATCAGCGCTCCGAAGAGTTAAAATAGTTGCATCCGAATCCTGCGGATCGGAGAAAGTGCCTCACGCAAAGGAACACTAGACAAGGTACGAATTTCAGCATTCCGATACATGTTTCGTAACTAAAATTTCACGTAGAACACGGTGCACAAAACAAAAATTACCGAAATCAACTTCTTACGAAGATAATCAATGATTCTTGATGCGTGAATTTAATCCACCCGCTCATGAAAACTCAATGCTCCACGTGATTCATATCGCGCGCTAAACGTTATCATGACAGTCTCTGCGATACAAAAATCTGGCAACCCTAATCTTGACGCTTTGGCTCAGCTGTAGCAAATTGCTGATAGTTTGAACAACACATGATGGGAAATGAACATTACTCATTTGAGAAGCTTATTGAAACCGTTGTAGTGCGCGATTTGACTCACGCAAAGCTTTGAGTTTCTTGTGAGCGGGCAGTTCAAATTTCTCGTAACCAATGTGTAATGAAAACGTTAATATCTTCGTTAGGAGTTGGTTTCAGTACTTTTCGTTGTGCAAATCGTGTTCTACGTGAAATTCTGGTTAAGAAACATGTATCAGAATGCTTGAATTCATGCCTTGTCTAGTGGTCCATTTATGGACGGGCCCTAATAACATGTTCATCTTTGACGAAAGTTCTGAATGGACCACTAGACAGGGTACGAATTTTAGCATTCTAATACATGTTTTTGAACCAAAATTTCACGTAGAACACGATTCGCGCAACAAAAGTTACTGAGACCAACTCTTAACGAAGATATTAACGGTTTTATTTCACATTAGTTACGAGGAACTTGAATTGGCCGCTCACAAGAAACTCAAAGCTCTACGTGAGTCAAATGGCGCACTACAGTGGTTTCAGCAAGCTTCTCAATCGAGCAATGTTCATTTCCCACCGTGTGTTGTTCAAACTATAAGCAATTTGCTGTAGCTGAGCCAAAGCGTCAAGACTGAGGCTACCAGATTTTTATATAGCTGAGACGTTTATGATAACGTTTAGCGCGCGATGTGAATCACGTGGAGCATTGAGTTTTCATGAGCGGGTGGTTTGAATTCACGCATCAAGAATTATTGAATATCTTCGTAAGGAGTTAATTTCGGTAATTTTTGTTGTGCGCATCGTGTTCTACGTGAAATTTTGGTTAAGAAACATGTATCGGAATGCCGAAATTCGTACCTTGTCTAGTGGTCCATTCGTTGAATTGAATTTTTGTGATACCTACTTGAGAATTGATATCGGGTGTTTGTGTGTGTGTTTCAGTCGCGGGAGAAGATGATGCGGGGGGTGCGGCGGGGGTGCGTGCGGCTGAAAGGGGCCGTGATCGGGATCGACCTGGAGGACGACAGCACGTTCACCATTACCGTCGACTCGAAGACGTTCCACTTCCAGGCCCGCGACGCCGAGGAGCGCGAGAAGTGGATCCGCTGCCTCGAGGACACCATCCTCAGACACGCCTACGGCTACAAGTCCAGCAGGGTGAGTCTTTGAATCGCTTCATTTTACACAAACTGATCGCGGTGGACCTACAGTCCCTTTATACTGAGAGTCAAGACAATGTGAATCCATTTCTGATTGGTTCCCGTATTTTGGGCCTCCACTGTGTCACAAACGAGAATAAAGATTACATTTTCACCGATTGCAAAGATTGTATTATGGAATGGACCAGGGAATAACGGGTTCGGCAAGGAACAAACGGAATGAGAGAAGGAACGGAGAAAGGAATCTGAGAATGGGCTGATCAAAGATTACAAAAAACGTTCAATTTCTGTAATCTTTATTCCCGTTTGTGACTCCATGAGGGGGTGTTGTCTTGACTCTCAGTATAAAGGGACTCTAGGTGGACCTATAGGTAAAAACCTATGTATGTGTTTTAATATCTCTAAAAAAGAAGACGGAGAATTTTACAATTCCTACTTTTTTAGATAATCATTGTATTATCTGGATTGCATTTTGCAAAAAGGAACCAAGAGCATTGCAATGTTGCTAAAATTGTGCAACTTCTTTTGTCTTAGAAGAAAGACCTGATCATCTACAAACAGTTTCTGTTTTACACCCTAAAAACTGTAGATTAAAGACAAAAATAACCATGTAAATGTCATATTTGTGCATGATTTAAGTACTTTTATTGCAAAGGATGAAGTTGCACAATCTCAGCGACATTGCAGTGCTCTTGGTTCCTTTTTGCAAAATGAAATCCATCTATCGTTACCCTGTTTTCGTTTAGTTTTAAATCATGTACTTTTAGTAGTTACACTTTGTATAAAATTCCTTAAGAAAAAAAAAGAAAAAAAATTAAAGGATAAAAGTTAACAAATATTCCCAAAAATTCAAAATTTCTCCAAGGAAATTTGGCAACGCCTGAAGGCTCATACGACGTTCTTCCTTAGCACGGCAGCATTGTGCATTCTGTTATTCTTGTAAGGAGGGTGGTTTTTGGTTGTTTCGATAAAGGATGAACTATGAGGGCTACATGACACATATTTATTTATACTATTTCAACTATTGCTTCACATACACATATATATGAACAGGCCTAAAGTTTGGAGAGTGGGCTATGGGATGGGGAGGGGGGGGGGGGTCGGGTCTGAGCCGAGTTTGG